TCACCAAAGGTTGTGTCATGTTTGACCACTAGATTATAAGAAAATTGATAAATTTCGATTTCAATCAAACTCAAATATATAACAATCCAGTGATCAAAATAACTTAAATTTAATTTTAATAATTATTAGGGATCAAGCCCTTTCCAACGACACCGGGATCACTCAATTTTATGAAAAATTGAATTTTCTATGAATTTTTAAAGTTCTGGGTATTTAAAATAATTTTTAATCAATTTTGAACTTAATGGAAGTGCCACCATTTCTGGTGTTGACACGTGTCATAAAATGTGGCTGATCAAAATCATGGATGTGGTTTTGACTTAACCACTTTAGCATCGAATTCTAACCATTAGATCTGAGCCGGGTTTGATCCAAACATCCAAAATGCGCCACATCACCAATGCAATTTCCAAGTGGGTCAAGTTTGAATCCAGTCAAAAATGCATCATTTTGAATGAGAGACATGGCTTAATCAGGGCCTTCCGATCATGTAGAAGAAACAATGAGACGGCTCTGATTCAGAGAGAGATAGTTCAACATGAACTAAAAATTCAAAGAGCCATAACTTTCCAAATACATGTCCAAATTTGATGAAATTTGAAACATAATCTCATGGTATCTTAATGTTCCAATGTTTGGAGTTTGTTGGCTCAATGCATTGTAGATTGGGGGTGATTTCAAATCTAATTGTTAAATAAAAATATGAATAACATACAATCCAACCATCAGATTTTTAATTTCTTAGGCTTGTTGGAAAGATGAAGATGTCTTCTTCAACTTCCTAGAAGACTCCAAAGTCTTATTTTGGCTAGATTGAGAGATAACTCCAAAACCCCGCTTTCTCCCTCTAGATCATTTTCTCTTCACCAATGGGGCTTTAGAGGCTAGGATTTGGTGGATAAAGGCTTGGAGTGGGTTGTAGAGATGTTGGAGGAGCTGGGGGAGAGGTTTTTTGGAGTGGATATTACTAGATATGGAGAATGAGATAATGAGTTCATTTTTCTCCCTTTGGCCCATTTATCCTTCCCTAATCAAAATGGAGCGTTGGGATTGCTTTGGCTTGATCCGTGATGCTTGATACCTGGACTAAGTTTATTAGGAGGTTGGGAATCAAAAGTAAAATGAGGTGGAAAGCCTCACTTGTTCCTATGTACACATGGCCATGATTAGAAGATACTTTGGGCTAATTAAAGGTTAAGCTGGGTTTAGGAGTCATTTAGAAATACTCTATAAAGTGTTTGAATGGGAGGAATGAGTTGGATTTGAAGTAGGGTGCTAAAGGAGTGGTTAAACCACTAATGAGCCTTTTAAAGACTATGTTGAGTGGGGTTATTAATGTGGTATGTAGGAATACGATTTGCTAGTTGAGGTGATATGAAAAGGATTTTATACTAAAGGATTGGAGCTTGAATGAAAGTGTGAGAGCTTAAGGTGATTTGAATAAGTTTTATTGAGTTGACCAAGTAAACTTGACAATGAGTTGGCTTATGGTAGGCTAGGGAGTATCCAAAGCATCAAGGGACATGGGTTTGAAGATTTGGTTAGATTTGAATAAACTTGAAATTTGATTCAATGTAAAGAGGGTTTAATGGTTGATTGGGTTGACCCTGGTTGACTTGGTCAACCAGTTTGACCCAAGGCCTAGTCTAGGTTCAACATATTTGGCTTGATTTATAGAGGCTAATGGAAGTAGTCTTGGATGGTCTTTTAGGTCAAAATGACCATTAAGACCCTTAAAGGGCTATTTGGTCAACTTAAGTTGACTTGATCAATAGGTTAACCAAGGGTCTAGGTTTGGGCTCAATATGTTTGAAATGATAAATGGAGTCTAGTGGAGGTGGTCCCAATGGTTAAAAGGTCATTTGAGTCAAACTAACCATTTAGACCCTTACAGGTAAATTGGGTCAATCTAGGTTGACTTGGTCTATCAGGTTGATCCATAGTCAAGGTTTAGGCTTAATAGGTTTGATTTGACATTTTGAATTGAATGGAAGTGGTCCCATACAAAGAGGAGGTCATTTGGATCAAAATGGCAATTCAAACTCTTACGGGCCATTTTGGTCAAAATAGGTTGACTTAGTCAACCAAGCTTGACCAGGGTCTGGGTTTGAGACCTATGCACTCCAAATGATGATTATGGTACATTAGAAGAGGCTTTAAGGTTTTATTTGAATAGGCCATGTAGAAGTTTGGAGGGAACTTCAATTTTGCCCTTAAGGGGTGTTTCTATCATTTGGGCCCTAGGTCAACTATGGGTAAACCTGAGTCTGTCAAAGTATAGTTTATTAGTCCACATATCATAACAAAGGTAATGAACATGTTCAAGGATTTTTTAAAGGGCCCCAAGGTCAAAATCTATATGGTGAAATGTCCAGTGGTATTGGCCATAAATATTTGAAGGTTTTACAACCTTTGGAAATAAAATTAATTTTTGGGACTAGAGATCTCAGATTGAACTCAAATTTGGAGGTTTGACCCTATGGAAAAATTTAATCAATATGAAACTGACAGATCATGAATCAGATGTCATTTGATTGGATTTTAAATTAATTAAAAAATTACTCAAAAAGGGCTTTAGGACCTAGGACTTTTGGTCTGGATTTTTTTAATTTGAACTAGGTTTTAAGTTTAATTTCTTGAATTTGAATTATCCATATCAATAACAATCATGTTGATAATTATAAAATGATTGAATAGGATTTACATTTGATAGAAGGCTGGATTGACTAAGTCTAGGTTGATTGAAGGTTAGGATTATCTTAAAGTCTGGACTAGTTTGAGATTTAGATTAATTTGAGATCTGGATTGACTTAAGATCAGAATTTATTTGAGGTTTAGTTGGTCTGGGTCTGGATTGATCTAAAGTATAGATTGATCTAGGGTTTGGATTGATTTAGAGTCCAGATTATTTTGGGGTCTTGATTAATCTGGAGTCTATATTGATCTAGGGTGTGGATTGATCTTAGTGACCTCATATAAAAATGAGATCAACAAGGCACTCAAATAGTAAAATTTTATAATTTTTTATCTAAAAAGTACCTAAAACTCCTAAGACTCATCTCAGAACATGTGCATATCTATGTTATAAATAAAAATACTTTCAAACACATGAAAATAGGTTAAAAATACAAAATTTTGAATTTTATCTTTTAAAATTACTTTTTATATTTTTGGGTTATTATAAAAAATGGCTTGGATGTGGCCAAAGGTGGTTTTCCATGCCATTATCCTACAAAGAGTTAAGGGCTTGGCTGTTATCATGTGTTGATCTTGTAGTGAGTGACATCCCTTATTGGATTGTTGTTTGGGATGAAAATTGATTTTCTTTTGTTAAGCTTAAGGATTGTTATCTTAGCTTTGCTTTCCATTTCACATTTTCTTAGTTTTATTTCTTTTTCTCTTTTTGTTTTCCATAAGATAAGATTATCATTACTTTCCATAAGTCATTATGCATCATCAAATTATTTTGAACTCTTCAAGACAAAGTTGTTAATGAGACGTAGAAAATGTTGCAAAATAAAGAGGAAAAATAATCACTTTCATCAACACCATCCTTAAATAGAAAGAAAGCAAGCCATCATGAACATCCATACATGGAAGATTTTGATGTCCATCTTAGGCATTGTTTGGGACTTCTTTCTTACTATTTTTTAAAACGATTTCTAGTATAAAAAAATTTTAGTTCTAAAAGTTTTTGCACTAAAAATTTATTATAAAAAGCAAAAAGTAAGCTATCCCTAACAAAACATTAATTCATCAACATCAACTTGCTCAAAGAAGTTGTGTTATCATCATTATCATCCAAATATGAAAATAAACTATCTTTAGTTTAGTCATCTAGGAAAAAAAAGATTATTGTGTTTTTGTTCATCTTCAATAATAATGGATGACTTAACAATTTAAGCATCATTAGGGATTCAACAATGAACCACTCCCTATATCTTCAAAGAGAAATTATTCTGTGTGACATCCGGACGGGAAGAACCGTTTGGATATGTGAGTGTACATATTGTACATACATTTGCATACACTGTATGCCAAATCACATACATTTGTATACACTCTATGCCAAATTAGTACACACATTATGTACAGATAGAATGACACTCACAATCCTGACAGTTCTTCCCATCCGGATGCCGCACAGAAGAATTTCTCCTCTTCAAAACATCTCTCTTTTTAAAAGCAACAAAAAATATATTTACTTTTTAATTAATATTAAATACTATCAAATATAAATTTTTTAGATATGAAATTATAAATGGAATAAAATGAGCAATTATATGTGAAATATCAAAATATTTAATATTTACAAAACTATCAACTATCTCTATTTATAATAATATCAAATAAATTTAGAATAGCGCAATAAAATTTCAACTCATAATTTTTTTCACTTTGATTACATTTTCAATAAGTTTATTCATCATAACACAACTTACACAAGCATGATATATGAATTTTAATTCATTTATTTTTTATATAAATAAATACTTTAAATACCTCAATTGCTAAAAGACTATTTGATTTGCTTTAAAAAAAAACCCAAAGTATTTTAAATACATGAGATATCAAAGTAAAATTTTAAAGAATTCCTTTTACACTCTATAATGCAATTTGTATGTATTATAAACTCCTCTATTTTTATCAAATTTATTTTTCACCCAATCTGACTTCATTATCACAACCCACTGCTGCCATCGACCGCACCTACTATTGATTGTTGCCACTACCTGCTGCACTATAATCTTACTCTATATTTTATTTATTATATTTCAAATCAAATAAAAAATAATTATTTATATTTCTTCATTTACCTAAATAAATAATTTTAAATATTTGAAATATTATTTAGTTTCTCTTAATCAGCCTAAGTGTCTATACAAAATAAATTAAAAAAAAAAAAAACTAATTCTTAAGAAAGGCAATGCAAGCTGAAATTGACACCAAGAGCCAGCTCAGCAACCGGAGAGCCCGCATAATCCTGTCCGAAATGTTCTTCCTTCGTCAAGCTTTCGTATCGTCTCTCTCTCTCTCTCTCGCTGCTTGTCTCTTCTTTATAAATAAAAAATTTCTAACATCGCCGGCTAACTTATCTATTCGAGTAAACAAAAATGGCGGCATCATTTCTTCCGTCGGGGCGGAGCACAGCAATCGGGCTGCCTTTTCAGCGTCGCCGGAGGATTTCGGCGAATTCATTTCCACTTGTAGTGAGGTCGGCGGGGGGAGAGGGGTCTCCGGCCGCGGAGCCCGACCTTAGTGTTAAGGTCAACGGTCTGGAGATGCCTAATCCGTTCGTGATCGGGTCCGGACCGCCGGGGACTAACTACACCGTCATGAAGAGGGCCTTTGATGAGGGTTGGGGCGCTGTTATTGCCAAAACAGTAAGTCCTTTTGCCTTAATTGTTGTCTTTTTTTTTTTTTTGGAAATTTTATAGGTCTGATTGATGTGAGATATGTACTTGGATCCCAGATACTGCATGTATAAGTTCTTCTTAGCACACAACCACTGTTAGTATTCTATTATCATGACAATGAAACATTCTGTTGACCTTAATTAATGTATCTTAGTGCTGAGAAAGAAATTTACCTTCTTAAGTTTTGCATCTAAATGTTGTGCTGGTTGATATTATGCCTTGTGGCCTGGATGATTTTAAAGTTGCGTATATGATTCATGTGTATGGTAGGTGTCCTTGGATGCCTCTAAAGTTGTGAATGTAACACCTCGATATGCAAGGCTTCGAGCAGGATCAAATGGTTCAGCCAAGGGACAGATCATAGGATGGGAGAATATTGAGCTCATTAGCGACCGGCCCCTTGAAACAATGTTAAATGAGTTTAAGCAATTGAAAAAAGAGTATCCAGATAGGATACTTATTGGCTCAATAATGGAAGAATACAATAAAGATGCATGGCACCAACTTATTGAACGAGTTGAAGAAGCTGGAGTGGTATTTCTCTTTCATTTATCAATATAACAGCTCATAAAGGATACTTTTTTTGCATGCTTATATTCAGAATGTTTTTGGTGATATTCATTTAGGATGCTCTGGAAATCAACTTCTCATGCCCTCATGGAATGCCAGAGAGAAAAATGGGTGCGGCTGTGGGACAAGATTGTGCATTATTGGAGGAGGTTTGTGGTTGGATAAATGAAAAGGCCACTGTACCTGTTTGGGCTAAGATGACTCCTAACATAACAGACATTACACAGGTTCTTTTTTGCCTAACATTTCTTTTTCCCTTTAATTTATTGATATATGTTATCTTAGTGGATGATGATCTACATTTTTTCATGTTTTCTAATTTAACTGAACATTGCTTGAAATGAGTAAATATTGGTAGAGGTTTTCGGATGCTTCTTTAGCTAGTTTATGTTGGAATATACCTTGTCAGTGAAAGATTATTATCTTATCCAGATTGATGGAGCAGACACTCTTCGTTTCACATTGTAATCATCATATATATGGGATTAGAATTGTGAATCCTCGTTTTTCATTTGTTCTTGTTAAGTATGACCTATGGCATTATACCTAGTTCAGAAAACATTTTGAGCAACATCCATATTAGCTTATGTTTATCTCTTCTCTTTAATCCTCTATCATTAATTTTATCTAACACTTAATGGGAGCATTAGTAATCCTAAGTTTTCAAGTCCAAACCACTTGTCTATTTTTAATTATACTTTCATCAATGGATGTCACTCTATCCACTCCTCTAATATAATCATTTTTTATTCTATATTTCATAATTTTTCCACTCATCCATCTTAATATTCTATTTCAATCATGCTCAAATTAATTGTCAATGATTTTTTTACCACCCATCCCTTAGATTCGTACGCATCTCCAGCCTAATTGTAATTTTATATTTTACTTTGAAGCCTTCATGATATCCTTTTATTGCATAATACTCATGAGACAGTTCTCCATTTTAATCACTCAACTTTAACTCAAGAAATAATATCATCTCTATACCTATTATTTTATATAATATATCCAAAATTCTTAAATCTATCATTATGTATTACATATTCTTCTGATAATATTGCTTAATTAATAATTATTAATATCACAATCATTGAGATTATGTCTTATGCTCAATCTTTATTATGCTAGTTTTCAATCATTTATATTCAAAATATATTCTTTTTTTTTTTACTTTTAGCTTATTTTAGTATGCATTACTAATTAAAGTTGTGCTATCTGTCATAAACCAAATCACTCCAATTTGAATATCCTTTTAAACCACTCCACAACCAAACAAAAAAGATATAGAGACTCTATGTTGACTCTTAATGTAATCCTACTATAATAAAATTAAATGTTCTTTTGTTATTTCTAATAATAATCAACACTCCAATTTACATATCTTTAATAACTTTAACAGACCTTTATCACAGTTTTTTTTCTAATTTGTACTAAAAAAATTTACATGTACTTTATTATATGACTTATTAAACTTAGATAAAGATCATTTCTCTACTCTTTATATTTTTTTCATCAATTTTTTTAAAATAAAAACTATTTTCATAGAAGATTTTTCTTTCATAAAACTTTCAATAAAAAAAGTGTTCTTATGTATTATATTCCTAGTTTTCTTGTTGTTGGTTTTCTGACATTGTTGAAATCAGATTCATGCAAGGCTTTTCCTAAATTTCTATAAGCACTTCCTATCAAATTGGTATCAGATCGGTTTCCAAATTGTTTTTGGATAATTTCTGCAACAATTTTTTTATATTTCAGGTCATGAATTTTATTGTTTTTGTGGTGGAAATCCGAATTTTCGAGCCTAACAAAGATCTGGGGACTTATGACAGGAAGAAAGGTAGAAGTATTAGAAGGGGGATCAGATAAATGAAATCTGAAATTTCATATCTCCAAATTTAAGTTTCAAATTTAAAAAAGGATATTTCAATCTTCCATGATAAGATCGATTCAAGTTTTTTCCATCCTAGAGGGGATGTTGAAGATAGTGCTCGAGGGTTAAACCAAAATATCACCGTCGGAGATGAGGGAAGGTGCCGATAGCCTAGGAAGTGGGGAAAATCCTAAGCCAATTAGACGAAGTGAAGATCAAGAGGTGGAGATTTTGGAGGGAACAGAAAAAATGTCTTTCCTAGGGCCTATTCCTAAGGAGGAGTCGGGCAAAGGCTATGGGGAGAGGCGGGAGGAGGTAGGGAAAGAACAAAGAGGTGCTGATTTGGAGAGTAGATGAGCGGGATTTGAAAGGGAAAGGGGTAATTATGACCAAAGGGGGCCTAAATTTGAATGGGGATGGGTTTGTTATGATCCAAGGTATACTGAATTTGAAAGGATAAGGTGAGAATTTGATGAAAGTCTTGGGTATGAACGTAGAAGGGATGATTGAGACACTTGAGGGAAATCACCCCCTTGGGGATTGGGAAATTATGAAGGGAACGGATGCGATCTGTGGGTGAGAAAGTTGAAGATGCGTATTTTTAAGGCAGAAGATGCCCATTGGTAGATCTACAAGATGGAAAGGTACTTTACCGTCAACAGGTTGACAGAGGGGGAGAGACTAATAACAGCCGAGATGTGCTTGGAAGGGAAGGCTTTAGCATGGTACCAGTGAAGGGATACGAGGAAACCGATACATACTTGGAGGGAGTTTAAGGACTACTTGTTGGAATGTTTCCAAACCAGTAGGAGAGGGGATTTTTGTGAGCAATTCTTCGCTTTGATGCAAGAGGGGATAATGGTGGAGTACCATGAGCAATTTGAGTACCTCGCGAGATCACTGGATCGACTTCTAGAGACTATATTGGAGGGGAACTTTATGAAGGTACTAAAACTAGAGATCTGCGTAGTGGTTAGAGTGATGATGTCTCGTGACTTGGTCGAGGCTATGGAACTAGCTTAGTTGATGGAGGATCAGAGGCACCTGGAGAGAGGAACGAGAGGCAGCAGCTCAAGAGAATCGTACAGGATGACCACCACCTTATTGGCATCCAAGGAACCAACATCAGATACTCTTCAGGGGACTTCGAAGGAATAGATTGCAGGAGGAAGACCTGGGGACAACTTCAAGAAGCTCACAGAAATGGAATTAGAGGAGAAGAGGGCGAATGAGCTCTGTTTCAGATGTGACGAGAGGTATACACCAGGGCACAGGTCTAAGGACCGAACTCTTCGGGTTCTTACCATTTGTGATGACGAGGGAATGAAAAGTGTTGTCTTTCCACCTTGTAGATAAGGTGGGTCTTTGAGAGGGGAGTATTGTCCATACGGGGTCAGCTTACGGACAATATAGGCGGAACTTCTCCGCCTCCTGCATATGCCGATCAAACCGCCCAGTTCAAAAGAGCATATTAGGAATGTTCTAAATATTGATATCAAAATGTTTCTTCTTCAATCATTTGACATCCTCTTAGCCTTCAAATTCTATTAAAATATTTGTTAACCAAACCACTATAACATCCCTCACAACTCTCTAAACTGGTATATCATTTGGACCTAAAATCTTACCTTTATGCAACTTTTTCAGAATTAGCTCCACTTCATTTTTTAATTAAGCTATAATATTCTTTACTATATTATTTATTATGCTCTTACAAAATAATTTATACCTTAAAACTCTCATTTAGTATTTTCTCAAATAATATTATTTTATTTTTCCTTATATCTTTATCCTTGACTTTAATTTTTTGTCTTTCATTTTAATACAGCTAACTTGATCAACATCCCCAGATCTTTTATCTCTTGCTTTAATCAGTCTATCTCTTTTTTCGTGATTCCTTCTTACTAAGTCTATTATATGAATCATATGTGGGCGTCGGCTAAATTAGTTGATAAGGTCCAAGATCTTGGATTTAAAACCCACCTACGTTATAATAAAATTCATCATATAGACTAGAGTGGGCAATAAAAGTTTATTATATAAACCTCTAAAGCTGGACGTATTTCTTGATGCACTACCCTCCTTGCAGGACTTATAGCTTTCTTCTAAGTACCAGAGTTAAACACCCCTTATACTGCTGATATAGAATGGATTTAAAATTGTGATCTAGCATGAAGTTCCTGCACGTCAATTATCTACCTGCTTGTAATTTAACAAAAAGAAAAGTGCCTTATTATGGTTTAGCTGTTTGTATTACTTGAAGTGAGTTTCTAATGTGAAACATAATAGGAATTGCAGGAATTTAATAAAAATTGTTAATCTTGCTAAATATAAAATTAATGTTTTACAAGATTAAATTCTAGGATTTTTTAATTGTTGTTTTGTGTTGATATGCATTTACAAACTAGGTTAGAATGACAATTTAAAATAATAACATAATTATAGTAAAACTAGATGCACAAATAACATAAATCCACCTATTAACAAATAGAATTTTCACCTCAAGTTTCCCTCACTCTCACTCTTGAGGGTTGTTTTAGCGGAAGAGTACTTTCAGCAAACTTAATGACGCAACTAAAAGACAGAGGACGCCTACAGTATTGCCCAACAAAAATTTAGCCTCAGGGGAAGAAGTCGGTGGAGGTTGAAGAACTTGCCACTGTCTGGAGGTTTTATGCTCGTCGATGGTTGTCGTCAAAGTGAATAGAATCCGGTCGATGTAATCGTTAACGGTGTGGTCGATCTCCATGTTAAGGCCGAAGAAAGGTGATCTCAACACATCTACTCTTCTTTGATGATCGTATACGAATCCATGGTTTTATTCAGGATCGGCCATTCATGAGGGACGTAGGCCGAATGGTTAGGTATCTTCCTTCTTGGACGGTATGTGAAGCAAGGGAGAAGAGAGGTAATGGAGGAGATAGGGGCTTGGAGGGTTTCGGCCAAGGCTAGGAGAGGCTCCTCTAATTTCAAATTTAGGGTTAGGGAAGGAAGAGGGAAAATAACTTCAAAATTTGAAATTTAATTTCACATTTTTCGGTTGGATTTGAATAGGGGAATTTCAAATTTGAATTTCAAAACAAAGGGGAAAAAGAAGAGGGAAGGGGTGATTATTATCCCCTAATTTAGGGTTGTAATTGGGGAAAGAAATAAATGAGAGAAGGGGAGAGAGGGGGCCGGCTAAAGGAGGGGAGGGATGAGTGTCCACATTCAATGTATGTGGATCCTTGCATTAATTGTTGATTGGGGAATCAAATCTAGATTAATTTCACATTTGTGGTAATTGGCGAATTTCCTAAAATATGAAATATTAATTAGGAAATATTTTGAAATTCAAATTTATTTGAATTTGAA